GATGATTACTATGGAAATGGAGGATGCGGTCCGTATGAGTGGGCTTCCGATAGACCTTGGTGTTTAGAGTTCCATCTGGGGAACGTTGGACCAGTACGTCCAAGAAGGCTATCGAGCCCCGGACCTCCTCCTCCAATGTAAACTTAATGTCCGGATATATTGAATTTAATACTCCCATAAAGCCGGCTAAATGGTCTCGTTTGACGACCGCAAAAGTGTCGTCAACGTACCGTGCCCAAAACTTGGGCTGTTGACGGGTCATAGCCTCGTGTTCTAATTGTTGTAGAACCGCTTCTGCCACCACGCTGGATATTGGGGAGCCCATCGGTGTACCTTTGACCTGTTCATATATATTCCCTTGAAAGGAGAAGTAGGTTGTAAGACATAGCTCAATGAGTTGCATTAGGTCCCCCGGTTGCAAGGAATCCCGGTGTCCGGTTTTTCCTAGTTTTTCTAATCTATCCCTTAGGACTCTCAGGGCCAGTTCTTGGGGGATGGAGGTGAAGAGTGAGGTGACGTTGAAAGAGACCATCACCTCATCCTCCTCCACCCTAAGGGTCCTGATCCTCCCCAGGAATTCCTCTGCGGATCTGACTGTAGTGGGGCTGCCATCGACCAGGTAGGATATACGGTCACTAAGCCACTTCGCCAACCCTGAGATGGGAGTGCCTCTAAACGACACGATAGGGCGAAGTGGAATATCCTGCTTATGGATTTTTGGCAGTCCATAAAACCTCGGGAGCGCAGAATCATTGGGTCGTATTCTCCTTAAGGTATCTTCATCAAGTTTCTTTGATCGTTTAAAACTATCAAGTAACTTGTTGATTTTATTTTTCAGGGCCACCATGGGGTCTTTCTTAATAATTCTGTAAGCAGTCTTGTCATTTAGTAACTGCAGCGCTTTGGCCACATAGAGTGCCCTGTCCATCACCACTGTGGCCCTCCCCTTATCAGCGGGGAGTATCACAATGGTGGCGTCCCTCTTAAGATGTTCCAGGGCCTCCGTTTCATCCCTAGGTAACACTTGGTGGTGCCTATGACGCATAAGCAACCCCGTGACCTGCTGCCTGATTAAATTCACCGAATTTTCTCCCAAATCCTCGTAGTGCATAGCCAGTTCCAACGCGGCAACGAAGTCTAACAGATTCGCATCCATCAGGTTATATCCTGCGTCGCGCTGCAACAGCGCAAGTTGGGGGCGGGTGAGGGTCTTTGAGGATAAATTATGTACCACATTATCCATATACCTATTACCCTTTAATCCCCGTAAAGTGTCTATCTTACGTTGGAGGCGTATGGCAGTCTGTTGATTGGTTCTCTCCGCCATTGACCGAACGTGCTGGTCGAGCATTTGGAAGTGTTGCTCTGATAAATCTCTGTTACATTGTTCACGAAGACAGTTGGCTCCCGTCTTCAAGGTTCCCACTCGACGGTGTTGATCATTAATGAGTGCTCGTACCGTGCGGCGTTGGAATTGTCTCACCGCTAACTGGCATTCAGCAGAGTTCACTGCAGGTCTCCTCATTAATGATTTGGGTGGGAGTTCTTCACGCATGCAGGCGTGCAGGAAGGCTAACTTGCGATAACAAGCCGAGATACGGCATACCGACTTCTCCCAGCGCCTTGCCTTGAGCAAAACTGCTCTGTTATAATGATTGGAAATAAAAACCCCCAGCGCAAAGTTATGGGATGAAACAGCGACTACAATTAAAGGGGAAGAGCACCGTATGGAGTGGGAATGGAGAACCAAGGACGGACGGTAACGTTGCCCACCGGCAACGGATGGAACAACGAGCCACCGACAATAGGACAACGACAAAAAACATCTTGACGGTGCGCAAGACAGAGCGTGTGGGAACGAACAGCGGACCGTACAGGGGAACCCAGGGGAAGAAGGAGGGGAGGAGGAACAATATGGGCGGGGGTTATGAATCTAGGGCACAATTCCGGGAGACGGATAAACAAGACCAAAATAGCCGTGAGGCTTGTAAGGATACTGAAAGTGATAATTGCCCACCCCCACTCGTAGAGGGAAGTCGTGTGTGGGATGGTGGTGGGGGGGAGGCTATGAGCAAGGAAGGCAAAAAGATCTGGACTCCCAACTCTGAAACAACTTATGACAGAATGCAGACTAGTAATGTGGGATGTAGGCTGGAGACCCAACCCGATCAGCTGGGGCCTATGACACGCTCCAGGAGCCGGAAGCAGACACTAAACAGCTGTATATAAGACTCTCCCCCGGCACTTACCTTTTAACCCTGACGATGTCAATTGTATTTGATGAAAGCTCGGTGGATTAAAATTCTATTTTTATAGATACTCTCTTGGTGATCATTACTATTTGACTAACATATATATATATATATATATATATATATATATATATATATATATATATATATAGGTCTTTGGTTATTTGGGTTTTCTCCCGCGTCAAATTGGAAGTGTCTTGGCGACGTTTCGACGAAGTCTCATTCGTCATCTTCAGGCTGGTGTTTTCGGCTTCGTGCTTCTCATAGCCAGGCCTCTCCTCGCCAGCCCAGTACGAAAACACCAGCCTGAAGATGACGAATGAGACTTCGTCAAAATGTCGCCAAGACACTTCCAATTTTACGCGGGAGAAAACCCGAACAACCAAAGACCTACATACAAACACCCGCAAAAACCTCAGAAAACACACACACACACACATATATATTCTGAGGTTTTCGCGGGTGTTTGTATGTAGGTCTTTGGTTGTTCGGGTTTTCTCCCGTGTAAAATTGGAAGTGTCTTGGCGACGTTTCGACGAAGTCACATTCGTCATCTTCAGGCTGGTGTTTTCAGCTTCTTGCTGCTCAAAGCACGAAGCTAAAAACACCAGCCTGAAGATGACGAATGGGACTTCGTCGAAACGTCGCCAAGACACTTCCAATTTTACGCGGGAGAAAACCCGAACAACCAAAGACCTATATATATATATATATATATATATATATATATATATATATATATATATATATATATATCAAGGATACAAACATACTGCAAGCTTTGTGGGTAAACTGTGGGGTAACCATTTTCAGCTTCAGTTAGAAAGACTGTAAAATTCTTTTGCAGCTAAAATTCTTTTACAGCTCTTCTGTAAAATTCCTGTTTTCCATTTGCTCGCTCATTCATATTCATCAGCCTCTGTATTTATTGAACTTATATTCATTAGTTTTCTCTCCCATTCATCAGCTTCTGCTTACTCAGCAAGAAGCATTACTCAATCATCCACAATTAATAATGAACAATTCTCAAGGCAACCTCTTTATAATTAGCAGCTATACAAAAAAGTTTTTCACTTTCTCATAATTGAGGACACAATCAATTTGACATCTCTCCCTTGTATTTTTCTTCAGTTGAGCTCCACTCCCAATTTTTGTTAATTTTCCCTGCTTACTTAGGGAACTTCCTCCCTAGAAACTATCTATGTCATATTATTTGTACAGTTTCTGTTGCATATAAATATATGGAGATATCTCAACATGCCATGTTTTCTTACAACAAGAAAACCAACTGTCAATAGAAAATTCTTTTCCAGTTGGATCTTAAAAATACTCTCAGAATAGCAATAGTTCCTTATCTTTCTTTTTCCTTGAAAAATAAATCAGAAAACTATAAACTACTCAGTCTGACACTGATACTAGGAGAACTCTAGTCTAGAGCAAATCTTAAGGGGATTATCTGTTACTATCTTAGAACAATGTGAGAGTTATCAGAAATAAACACAGTTTGTCAAGAGTCTTGGCAGACCAATCTGATCTTGTTGTTGACTATATAACTTCTGTAAGATTATTAACATATTTTGACATTAGTAAAACATTTGATAAAGTCCCACACGTCATGCTGATTAATAAGGAGTTTGGTATGGAGTGTATGGCATGACAATAAGTGGTCTGGTGTGAAAATTATATTCAGAATATACTCAAGGGTTTCTTATCATACTGCTACAGTTATCAAAAGAAATGCCACAAGAACCAGTCCTGAGTTCCTTAATCTTCATTATTTTTACTAATGACTGTTTGAAGCAGATGGTGGGTATATTAAATCTGCTGATAAAACACATGTCCAGAGGGTAGCTAATATACCAGAAGACCAGAATACCATTCAAAAATTATTTTGAAAATTGCAGGCTGAAGGTAACAGTAAAATATAACAGAAGGCAAGTAGAAAAATCATCACTTATGAAACAACCATTAGATGCACAGGTTGTAAAACACTACTTGTTAAAAAGATCTTGGAAAAGTAATTGATTGCAGGGCAGCTGTATGAGATTCTTACAAAAAAAAGGGAAATGCAATTTCAGATTTATACTTCTGCACTGACAGAAGTAGAATTCCCAAGTCATGGGAATTAATGGTTCTACTGTATTCTTCTTTGGCGAGAGCTCATCTCAAGTTCTATATCAAGTCTAGGTACAAACTTTAAAAAATATACAGAAATAATTACAACCAGGTTTAGATAAGTCAAGCAGGATACACAAATGACTAGAAATGAAGTCCTAGGAAGAGAGTTTGAGGAAGTTGGGTATATTTAGCAATGAAAAAAACTAAATGGTGATATGAGATAGATTTATTTAAACACCTAAAAAGAATGTCACATTAGATTAGAAGGTCAAGGCCTGTACGTTCTTATTCTAGAATGCAGGATAAAACAATGGGTTTCAGTTATAGAAAGACAGAATTCAGCTGAATATTAAGGGAAAAACTTCCTAACTATAAGAGCAATAGTAGAACCAGTACCCAGCGATATTGTGGATTCCCAGTCTTTGAATAATTCATGGGAAAACAATAATCATCTGTCAAGGATGCTTCAGCTTGGATTTTTGTACTGACTAGGGGTTGGACTTGATGATCTAACTGACCCATTCTAATCTATGATTCTAAGTGTTTACACTTTTCTTTTTTAAAGAAGCCAAAGAACATATTTCTACAACATATAGCTACAATTATAAATAATGTTTCTTTTTTCTCCAGACAAATCCAGGAATAGTACCAACTCATGCTTTTAACCCAAGAACCTATTTCTTTGACAATCCTCGCAGATATGACAGTGATGATGATTTGGCATGGAGCATATCACCACATAGCATATATGGCAGGTAGGACAAACATGTATATAGATCATACAAAAGAACAGCATAACTTCACAAAGATCTTTGGGGTCCTAGAAAAATGCAAAAAAAATAGTATGCAGGTAGTGTTTTGACTAGAACAACTGGTGAAACTGATAACCACATTCTTAAAAAATCCCATTAAGAGTGGACTAATCAGTTAACAAGCAAACAGACTTGTGACACAAACTAATATTTTGTTCACAATAATCACGCATACCTTGTAGTCAATTCCCATTGCATATTATACGTTCCTTAGGTTTATATAACTTTAGCCTTATTTATATATGTCACAGAAAAATCTTGGGGAGAGGGGCTAACATTTTCCATCAATAAATTATACAGTTTAGAGAAGAAAATGAATTACTTCACCAATGAACCAATCTACACAAAGAACTTAAAAGATAACCAACCTAATAGGTAATGAGTGCTGCAAACATACATCATCAACAATCAAAATACCTTTGATACTGTTCCTTCTTTGTTTAATCAAAATGCCTTTTGAACAAATAAAAACTGTATATAATTGAAAATTGTTAATGTGGAATTCTTTGTGACCTGGATTAACAGCTGTGTATAAAATTTAGGCCAAACAAATGTATAGTCAGAGGCACTTAGAATTTATTCCAGAAACAGGATTGAAGCAAATAGGTCTGCACAGTCAGAATATGATTAGTAAAATGCATCTGAAGAGCTTTATAAAATTACATAACTTGAAACACTGTTAAGCTTTCACTTTTTTACAAAGTCCATTGTTTTTATCTTCTAGCTTCTCTCCAGAAACCTATGACTGGGGATATCTAAACAACAGCTTAATGGTTCAAGTTGGATCTCTGCAACATGATTTCACATCAGAGTCTCCATGACGAAGCCCAATATAACAACAGACCAATGATACTCCCTTCACATTATTCAATTTTAGTAAGAAGGGTTATTTTGCAAGGACTTACATATTTAAATTATGTAAAAAGAACTGAGTCACCTTTTATAATGTTAAAAATATTTGAGTTTTAAAGATTTGAGTTGCTGAAAAAAAATCTGTTTCCTATATTTGCAATTTAGAAAAATAGTTTGAAAAACTCTAAATTTTTTTTGGGGGGGGAAGTCAAATATTTAAAATGTGAATATGTATAGACATGGTGGTGTTTAAAATGTTAATTTAATTGTACAATATAATGCCCAGTGAAACATATGCTGATAGGAGTTTTTGACCTGTTTAACATGCAAATTTAACTATTTAAAATGTATTATTAGTTTTAGTAAATTGGTCATTAAAATAATTTTGTATATCTTTACTGATGCATGAGTGAGGGTGACGGAGTGGAAGAACTGTTTTCTCTAAGACTGCCTATTTTTTATTTCAACTTCCTATCCGCTTTGATTATATAGGAAGCTACTAAATTTAAAAAACAGAGAAGAATTTGTCCTGAGGTACAGTTTACAGTTGTGTTAGCTTCAGCAGTCCATATAATAAATTGGAGTTTACAGTACTGACTTGTCATGGCCAGAACTTCTCTAAAGGAGTGTACATAAAATTTCTATTTGCATGTGTACTTTGATTCAGGACTACATTTCTGAATTTTTTTTACTTTGGACATTCCTTTGTAAAGAAAATCAATCCAATCTAACAATTCTTTTTCACAATAGAGCTAAGTGTGTACTTCTTACTTTCTCTCATCCCATAGTCAGTCTGCAAGCTTGTTACTCATCCAACAAAACACATCTTTGTGCACATGCCATCTGTAATGTGTATGCAAATATAAATATTTTATGAAAAATATTTATACAGGCAGTGCTTGGCTTTCAACCATTCGTTTAGTAACCATTCAAAGTTTCAATGGTACTGAAAAAAAAGTGATTAGGACTGTTTTTCACATCTTGTGACCCTTGTAGCATCCCCATGGTCATGTGATCAAAATTTGGCCACTGGACAATTGGCATGTATTTATCATGGCTGCAGTGTCCCAGAGTCATGATGATCACCTTTTGCAAAGATGGTGAGGAAGCCAGATTCACTTAATAACCGTTTTACTAAGTGAACAACCGCAGCAATTCATTTAATAACAGTAGCAAGAAAATGCAAATGCAAAACTCACTTAATAACTGTCTTGCTTAGCAGTTGAAATTTTGGGCTGAGTTGTGCTTATAAGTTGAGGACTTTGTGTATATTATTTATTTTAAACTTCTCAAAGCACTTTACAATCATTATAAAGGCAGAAATACTTGCCCATCTATTCAATCCTCGGTGACAATTACAATCTCCCCAGATCCAAGAAAGCCTTTTCCAGGTTGGGTTAAATTGTGACCTGTTTAAGGGCAACCAGGAGCATGTCCTAATGCAAAAAAAGCTTTCCCCCAACCTTGAACCCATCAGTTAATCCCTTTAAGTTAATTCAAAGTAGCCATGATGAGAAAGAGGCAAGACAACAAATGACGGGACAAACCATCACAAGTGCCTGGATGGAAAGCTGCACCTCCAAATGCTCAGCAAATTTATTGTAACAGTTTGCTGAAAGCTGTAAAAGAATAGTTCCCAAGGCAGACGACATGAAACCCAAAACAAAATCAAACAAATAAAAATGGATGTATACATCAGAAACAGTACGGCACTAGCTTTACGTTAGTCTTACGCTGGTAGAGCAAAGAAGAAATCCCATCTCTTTTGCTTCCATGGCAATCCTTTCCTCCCCAGTCAGGGTAAATCGCTACCGATTTATGCTGGCTGGGGAGGAAAGGCTTGCAAGGAACCAAATTAGGTGCAATTTCTTCTTAGCGCCACCAGCGAAAGACTAGCATAAAGCTAGCGCTGGCAGTACTAAAAACAAATCGTGGTTCATGCTGGCTGGAGAGGAAAGGATTGCAATGGAAGCAAAAGTGACAGGATTTCTCCTTCTTGATTGTGCCACATGGCCCAGCGAGGGAGCAGCCTTCTCTACCCTGACTCCCTGAGCTCGTCAAAATGTAAGTAAGCGAATGGAGACTGGGTGGACAAGGCCCAAAGGGCTTTGGGGAAACCAAGGGGCAGGAGGCAGAACATGAGATATCTTAGAGGGTGGGGGAGGCCACCTAGGAGTGCCTGTGCCTGCACTAGGCCTCCCTTGGTTTCTCCCATCCCTAAGATCCCATGCTCTACCTAACGATCCACACATTTGTTTAATGAATACATTGGGGAAAGCAGAGACAGGGAGGTCGTTGCTTCTTTTACATTTCATTTAAAGTAGTCTTCGACTTCTGACATGAATGGGCAGGCTCCATTTCTGTTGCAAGTTGAAGACTACCTGTAGTAAACAACTATAGATTAATCTTTTTCTCCCAGAAACTGCCAACTACTCATTCCCTTGAATTTCTCACAATGTTCAAAAGAACATTTATGGCTAAATGAAGATACTCCTCTGTTCACAGAATAAACTCTGCCTTATTTGGGAGATCCCTTCCTCCTCATTTTCCAACCCATTCCTTTTCTGGCAATTCCTATAACTGAGAGAAACATTTGAAGGGCTTTGTGGGGAAGCAGGAAACATAAATCACCAGACACAGATTCCCACACTGTTGTAATCATCACATTGTTTGTAACAAAATATATAGGATTATATATTGTATTTGATTGTATTCAAAACTGAGTTCCAAATTATTTGGAATGTTTTCATTATTAGAACATTTATTTCATAGCAATAAATGTTAGGCAATATATCCAAATCTGTAAAGGAAAGGAAAGACGGTCTTTCGTTTAGTCTGCAGATTGTTTTATCCTTCATATGGTAACCAACATTCTTGCAAACATATACTCAATCTTATATACATTTACTCAGAAGGGAACCACAATATTCAATTAATCTTAGCATAAAATACAGGAAGAATGAAGCTTAAATGAAGCTCCTTCATTTAAAGGAAGAATGAAGTTTGGCACTATGTTTATTTGAACTCCAAACGATGGGGTTTATTTTTTACTATAGCGTGTATAAGATTTGCATCTTTATTAGATTACTGTATCATAAAAAGGAAAGGGAATAAAGCAAAAAGCAGCAATGGAGGTTCTCATTTTGAAAAGGAAAATTCTAAAGGTGGCAAATATAATGAGGCAATAGTGGTCTTTACATTAGCAGTAATGGGGGAAATCAAGCTTAGAAAATGTAGCATCTAAAATTCTGACCACCATCATCCCTCAGTTATGTTCAATGGAATGGAAAGCAACTTCTTTTGTCCATTTCTTTCTATTGTTAATCAGAGTAATAAGAGTAGCAGTAGACAACTCTTTTCATTGTGGCCGAATTCAGCCACTTGGAAATTCTTGTTTCTATATATCAGATTCAAGGACTTCTTTCAAATCTGTATATTACTAAACAAAAACTCATATGTTGTCTATTACACACAACTAGCTATTTTTGAAAAACTGCATTATTTCTTTAAAAAAATAGAACAGCTGAGCAGACAAATAATTAAAGCAATGTTTTGAACTCTGAAATGAGACTCACAATTCCAGAAATAATTGTAGGACTTCTTGCGTTTGGCCAAATTTTAGCAATTAAATTCCTTATTCAATATAAAAGCAATTCAATCGTCAAGAAGTCTGAAAACTAATGACTACAACAACATTGTTTTCTACTTATAATTTCACTTCTGTTTTTTGGTACTTCATTTCTGTATTTTTAACCAATTAAATAAATAGTAGCCTTCACAATCTTGGATGTAAACAAAATTCCTGAATAATCTATTCCTGTAATCTTATTCATATGACCTTGACTTAGAATCAACATCTACCTTAACACAAGATACACATGAAGTGAGGTCTGCTGGCTTCATCCATAAAAATATCAGCATAAGCAAATGAATTAGACAAAGTAATACTTCTAAAATACCATTAAACTTATATTCAGCATAAAGAGAGAAAAACAATATTTTGCTTACCTTGCCTTTTTTAAATAAGGAAGTAATTGAAAGAAAGCTTCACGAATTCATGTCCATGTGATTTGAGTTTCAGGAAGCACATCAAGGAAGAACTGAAGCTATAAAAACCTTGCATATGGATTCCATGCTAACTCAGCAGTATTTACCATTAACATGTGGAAATTAAACACTTTGAAGTATCAATTTCCATTCAAAAAGACAACATTAAAAATAGCAAAATTACAGATCTCATGCTTTAAAATTTGCCCACAAATTCTGAAGCTTACAGCTGTTTTGAGCAGGGGGGCATTTATCTACCCCTACAGCTGGCAACACACTAGACTATTTTGAACTTTCCCATTATCTTTTAGATTAGATATTGGGAAAAAGTATAAGAAATGGATGAATTCACAAAAATAATCTCCATTCCTTTGGACAAAATCTTATGTCTGATTCATCACAAATTGATGAAAGCTTACTGATAAGAAATAGATCTTACCAGAAACAGATCTTACCAGTAACATTAAATTCTAAGGCACATAGCAGTTTCCCTAGTTTCACAATCTGTTACCACAAGACTATTCTTGTCTATCATAAATATCTGACGTTCATATTTATTAAGCCCTGAATTGAATGCAGTCTTTAGAATATGGCTCACTATCTATTGATTTCAATAAACAATGAAGTCTTAAATTATATGGGTAATACATTACAGTTCTCTTCATTTAGTTATCACTGGAAAATTCACATATGTACAAAAATATATAGTTGAGAATAAATAATACTTCATTTTTAAATACTTAAATCACAAAGTTATGGAATAATGTTGGTTAAAGCATGCAGTATAAATAGACATACATACACACACACAAGAACAATAACAGCAGACATGTCTTAAATTAGAAGATGTTAAGAGCACTTTTAATTCATTTTGTAAAGACTGTTTTACTTATCAAAGCAAAGCAAAATATGTACAAATCTGTATATTGTACTTAACCTGACATTCATTCAAACATCCCTCACAGAATACAAATATTACATTACAAACAGTTTTTAAATAAAGTGCTCATTCACAATTTACAGACTTCCTCCTACTGCAGATTAAGAATTTAAATGTTTATTACCTGCAACTGTTCTCTGATAACTAGATTCCCCTTTGTAGTTAAAGATTTAGGAACAAATGTATAGAATATCCTTTTATTATATTATATTAGAGACTATATTTTTAAAGGTGTAATTAGAGATTGCATAGATAGGATGTGCTCTGTTGAATTCTGGAAGTGACTTTTGGACATTTGTCTGTGAAAATATTTTATTGTATTTCTTATTGTATTTGAATAGAAGAGCACCAGAATAAGAGGACTTTGTAAGGTTTTTGAAATGGAAGATTTAAGGTCCACGACTATAAAGCTTGAGCCAATTTTTTTAAGCTAGTAGCAGTTAATGGGAAAAGCCTTTCATCATCCACTTAAAATAAAAACTGATAAAGTAATTTAATCCAGTTTTATCTCCTCACAGAGAAAGCAGCTGTGCTGTAGAAAAAACGAAGAAAAGGAAAAGAGGAGAGGGCAAGGAGGCTAACACAAAAATAACTTGAGATTCCCCAATAACTAGTTCCCCTGAATGCCAAGGGGCTTATTTTAGTAAAATATTTACTGGCCATGACAGAGACTGTAACAAACAAATGGAATATAAATGCAAGAAAACATTTTTCTTACATATTATCAATTCCTCCAAATAAACATAAAAAACGCATTTCCACCAGGTATTTTTAGGAAATGCTGGAAGAATCTTTTCCATGGGAGCAATGCAGCCTGAATGAAGTTCCTGCATATTGATGTAAAGCAGTGTTTCCCAAACTTGACAATTTTAAGGCATGAGGACTTCAACTCCCAGAATTCCACAGCCAGCAGTGCTGGCTGTGGAATTCTGGGAGTTGAAGTCCTCATGCCTTAAAATTGTCAAGTTTGGGAAACACTGATGTAAAGCAAGAGAGGCAACATTTCTTTTGAATGATAATGAAACAAAAGTAGTAGAGAGTAAGAACAGTGAAACAGTTAAAAACAAACGTAATTTACATAATTAAAGCCAGGTATTTTATCCATAAATATTTTGTCCAATGTCTTAACCTTTTTTATTTTAAATATTCAAGTTGGAAATATATATGTATTCTTGCCTTTCTAGAACAGTTTTGTATGCAGATTGGCTTCATTTTGCCTGGGGTTAAATTAGTGGCTGCTTCTACCAGTAGGTACCAAGCCTTCGTTAACTTTTCTGTTGCAGTAAGACTTTGAAATTCTGTAGTTCTCGTATACTTGTAGAAAGTCTGTGAGGAAGAGAAGGGAAGAAGGACCGAGTCTAGAGAAGTTCAGTATTAAAACAAGGAAGCACTTCCTACATGAAACTCCAGCTTGACTTTTAGATCAAATCAGCAATTTGATCTAAAACTTAGATACTGCAGTTCGTTAAAATAATTATCTTATCCACCTTCAACACTATGTGTGTGTCTGATGCACTTAAAGTCTAGAGCTATTTAATTTGACTAAAATGGATTAGATTCCCTTTTATTGTGAATGGTGGTACTGTGTAAGTTACCGTGAGAGGAGATTATAGCTTTTGGAGAAAATACAGATAATCCTGACTTAACAATTGGCACCGTAACACTTACTTGAAGATTCAATGGACTCAAAAAGAGTTAGTTACAAACTTGTTTTCAAAGTTACGACTGCAGTACTATCCCCCATTGTCACATGACTGCATTTCAGATATTTGGTTACTGTCTCGCATTTACTACAGATACGTGACTGTGATTTGCAACAATTTTTATGGTTTTTGTCAGAAAACAACAAAAGACACCATTGGATATGCTGGATTTGCTAAATGACCACATGATTTGCTTAACAACCATGGAGCCTACCTTAACAACTGTCATAAAAATGATCATAAAATTGAGTCAAATTCATTATTGCAATGATTTATGACAAGAATTCTGGACTTAATTGTGGTCATACATTGAGGACTACTTGTACATATATATTTTTAAAGTCCGTATCACATGAAGAAAGAGCCCAGCCTATCACTAAATAGCTATAACAAATTTCACTTGTAACTTACCTTCCAAATGCATTCAGAAGAGCAACTATTTCTTGCCGTGTCAATTGAAAACCTTTTGATGGACTGTTCTCAGAAAGATTCTTTATTTCTTTTTCAGAGAATAAGATTTTCAAAGCAGTTCCTAAACCCTGAGTCTGAAAGAGAGCCAATATATTAAATAGCAAGAGTACAATATACATTAATTAACAACTTTGGACACTTCTACACTGCCATCATTTCTACTCTCCAATCTCTCAAAAGTGATTTGAAAACTAATTATCATCTCTATTTCAGCGACTCAAACCAAGAACCCAGAGTAAAGCACAACTAGCCCCAGGTAGGGGCAGGTCTTATATCAACAAAATTCTCTCATTCTCACTTCACCTCAAAACAGATAGAAAATTTAAAAAGCAGATCAGTCTCCATTTGCTAAATGCACATTGTTTTGTTTTCAGTTCAGTTTATTAAATTAATTATTGAATGAAGAATTAAAACTTCATTTTCAAGGAATTAAAAGGAGCCATGGTGGCACAGTGGTTAAAATGCAGTATTGCAGCTAACTCTGCCCACTCCCAGAAGTTCGATCCTGGCTGGCTCAAAGATGATGCCTTTCATCCTTCCAAGGTCGGTAAATTGTTGGGGGAAATATGCTGATTCTATAAACTGCTTAGTTCTATAAGGCACTATAAAGTGGTATATAAGTCTAAGTGCTATTCTATGCAGTATTTTAATATAAATGTCAAATAATATTGCATAATATAGTATGTATTCCTACTATACAGAAAATGTATTCTATAATTGGTGAAATGACATGTACAACTTGCATAGCGTGAATATTATAATAAAGCAAATATGAAATATCTGGTTTTGAGGTAAAGCTAAAATTTACCATATTGACATTAACTGGCCTTAGAGATGCAGAGTATAGGAAATAGTTTACCTAGTGTGAGCAACTGTTTTGCTATGTAAGAATGTTAACCTTAAAACATGAAAAAAACCTCACATACCTGCAATTTTCCCCATAACCGACATTTATCACATCCAACACAATCCATTATGCGAGATATGTTTTTGAAATGCAATCTGAATTCTTCCTACCAATACAGAAAAACATGTTTAAAGCTTTTTCTAATGCATTAGTGATTCTAAAGATGATGGTCCAACATTCTCTTCTCTCAATGTTTTCTTTACTTGCTAATTTTGTGTATCCTTTTCCTTTCGGAGGTAACCATTTAAGCCTTCAAACTAATTAGTTCAAACCATAGTTTGCAACCATTTTTAATCTGATAGCAAGCTGAGTGGGAATATCCATAGTTAATGTTATAAATTCTATATCAGTTTCATTAAGTACTATTGGCTTTGAAAAAAATACGTTGACAAAAGGATGAAATGAGCATTGCTTTTGTACTGCCCCTTTTGTAAATGTGTGCAACAACGTATCTAAAAAAAGGTGGAGTTCGCATTAGAATGACATAACACTTGTTCCATCATTTGATCCCTGCCCCGGATGCTTTTTTCATATTCTCATAAAGAGAAAAAGTTTCATTTTTCATGTAGTAAAGAAGCTTATGAATTGGCATTTATCATAAAGCTATAAAGCAGTGGTTCTCAACCTTTTTAATGCCGCAACCCCAACCGATCATAAGTCGAGGACTAAACCGGTCGTAAGTCGAGGACTAAACCGGTCGTAAGTCGAGGACTATCCAACCGGTCGTAAGTCGAGGACTTTCCCTGCCCGGGAGCACCGCACATGCATGGTGCTGCCCCCTGCGCTGGCCGAGGCGTAGCTGGCAAGCGGCAGAGACGGAGCAGGCCGACCACCGGCTGGGCCACCAGCTGGCCCAGCCCAAAGAAGGTAAGGCACCCGCCGGAAAAGGGGAAAAAAATGGCGGACAGCCTTGCTTGGCGACCCCCGTGAAATGGTCGATCGACCCCAAATGGGGTTGCGACCCATAGGTTGAGAACCGCTGCTATAAAGTATAGCTGTAAATTAACAGTAGAGATACAGAGATGACTCAAAATTATGCAAGTAGATAGCATAACAGAGATTCCGATTAATGGGATAATCTACTGATCTGGAATCTTATATTCTAATGACTTGCTTGCTACTTTTCTGAAATATTACTTGTAAGAACTTAAAAGTACCTTGATGTTTAATGATGTTGCTTCAGATATAAAAACAATATAATCAAATGCACACACAAAAGCAAAGAAACATGATTTAATGTAATTTAAAATTTCTTTCATTTCTGCAATTTACGTAAATTGTCAAGGTAAAAATTATATTTACCTTTAAAGATATGGCCTCCTTTTTGTTTCCAGAAAACATGGACTTTTCATCAAAATGCATAGGAAAGGACCTAGAAAAATTAGATAATGAATTAGACTTATTTAACAAAACTGTTTGGATACTAGTAATAATGCTCCACTTTCTACAATTACTTGACATATCTACAGTACCTAAAATGTTTAAGATATGGTTCAAGAATCAAAATATATATTATAGCCATACCCAGCTACATGGTTTGTCCAATTCTATAAGCAATGCAGAACAGTTACTTTTATGTTTTTTTCCCAAAGGATTCTCAACAAATATCCCAAAGGAAATAATATGAAATTCTTCATCATATAGCAGTTTTAGCCATAGTTCTCAATTTTGTCTTTCTCTCCAACTCTTTTATGAAACTCTCCCTTTTCTTATCTGGATGTAATGTCTTGTGAGTTTTATAGTATGTCACTATATTCCTTCTTGATAAATAGAAACAAATGAACACTTATAGACTAACTTTCTGACAATAGAAAATATTATTATTCAAAAGACTTAGAGAGAACTCCATCCAAAACTACATACTGTATGCATATCATGATACCTGACAGATCTTTTAACAAATCTGCTACTTATAGCTATTGTCCTCAGAGTGAAGTTGTCAGCTAACACAGTAGACTTGACTAAGAAACCAATGCCATAGAGCAGGCATGTCAAACTGCCGGCCCACGGGCCGGATGCGTCATGCCAAAACCGCACCCACCCCATAGAGGCTAGGATTGCTTTCATTGTAACAGCTACAGTAACAGAATCTTGCAAGTCTGATTGTATTTTGTCCTTACTCACTTTATCTTTATCTAAACTAGGGATATGCTCGTTTGACAGGGTTCAAGTTATTTTCTTGGCCCAAATTCAAATCCCTCTTACTTTAACCATTTCCTTGATAGTGGCTCTTCCTTCTGTACTTCTTTCTGAACTTCAAGACCATTCCCTATGCCTTCTATCAAATAGCAATAGCACTTAGCCATAGCACTTAGACTTAAATACCACTCTATAGTGCTTTATAGCACTCTCTGAGCGGTTTACAAATGTCAGCATATTGCCCCCAGCAATCTGGATCCTCATTTTATCAACCTTGAAGGATGGAAGGCTGAATCAACCTTCAGCTAGTCAGGATCGAACTTGTGGCTGTAAGCAGAGTTAGCCTGCAATACTACATTCTAACTACTGCACCACAATGGCTCCTATTGAAGTTCACCCAGACCTTCTAGCTTTTTCCACTGAGCTATTGCTCTCTCTGGCCCCAATATCCTGTAACACAGTTCAGCATTCTAAGATGCAGCAGTTGTCCACAAAAGCATACAGTATAACAGATTACTAGCTCACTGAATTTCACTTGACATGGCACCTTTCTCAATAATTTGATATTTCTAATCAAAACACTCCATCTTAACTAATTCAAAGGAAGAATAAAAAATGCCAAAGAATAAAATAGTAAATACTGTTATATATATTGGCTGAGTTTATCACCAATCAGTTTGTCAGCAACCTAAAACCAATTTCCTGTATGTGTTAACCACATGTGTGATTTCAGCACAATGTTTCAGTTGGCCCTCTTTGGCCAATTGCATTTCTTCCAAATTAACTGTCATAATCCTGATGACTTGGCTATCTGCTTCAAGACATCTGACTATGTGACTAAGATAAGAAGAGCAATAGTTATGTTCTCTTTTCCTTTTGGATTAAAAAAACCCCAGGTATTAATTATTTGCACAATTTAAACTGCAGCTGGATACAAATGAGTCTTTCCTCTGACAGTCATAGTTTTCCTTTCTGGAGAGCTTCCTTTCCATTGCAAATATCCTTTGGACTCTCAAGTTGCTTCCCACATCTTGCTAAGCAAACTTGTTTGTTTTGTTGTTTAGGATTTGGGATTAATTTATTAAAGAAACCCAGTCATCTGGGACTGATTCAATAAAATATGGTTAAACAGTAGTTTAATGTGATATGTGAATTCAACCATATTTTTAGATCTGTTTTAATACCTTCATTTTCCTGCAATTCCCTAAAGATCTACTGAAATCAACTTTATTCAGTTGTCTGTATCTGAATACATACTAAAGGTGGAGACTAAAAGCACACCTACTTTGTATCTTGGAAGATTTCTAACAAGAGAGACTTAGTTTCTGTATCCTCCTGTGAATTTCCAGTATAAAGGTCCACAACTGAACGCTCAAAGTATGATGCAACCTTTGACAATGCACGCAGTTCCACCAAATATAGGAAATATAAATTTTTTAGTCGTCTTGGTCCTTCACTTTTTGTTTCACTAGGGTCAAAACGCTGGGTGAATTCTTTGACATTAGATCCCCAACGAGGTCTTCCCCATGTTTCTGAACAAAGAAAAACAATGCTTTAAAATAAGTATTAAAATTGTTTTTATGAGAATAGTGGAAAAATTAATTTCCTACAAAAAAAAATCACAAATACCTTCAAGTAAATAGTTTGCACAAAGATGTAAGTTGATACTTGCATGAAGTCCTGAAATAAGTTTATAGAATACACGTTTTTCAAGACAAAGCCCTAGATGACAATATAAAAAATATTGTTAAAACCCAATTAATTAGAAAATAATTCAATAATCCTGTTAGAAAGTGTTGTGCTATACAGATAGTCCTTGACTTATAATAGTTCATTTAGCGACCATTCAAAATTGCAACGGCACTGAAAAATATGATTTATGACTGTTTTTCACAGTTATGACCTTTGCAGCACCCCCATTACATTGTGATCAAATTTCAGATGCTTGGCAACTGACTCATATTTATGACCGTTGCTGTGTTCCAAGGTCATGTGATCATCTTTTGTGACCTTCTGACAAGTCAATGGGGAAGCCAGATTCACTTAACAACCAGGTTACTAACTTATCAGGTGCAGTGATTCACTTAACAACTGTGGCAAGAAAGGTTGTAAAACGGGCAAAACTCACTTAACAAATGTGTCACTTACCATCATAACTTTTGGGCTCAATTATGGTCATAAGTTGAGGATACCTCTAATAGTTCTACCTTGAAGAAAGTGGAAGTTTTGCTTTTTGAGATTGGCAGTATCCCACCGGGATAGATACAAAAGGGAAATTTTGCTCCCTTCAACTTTGCAACTTATGGAGAACTGATGGGACTATCTAGAACAGCACAGACAACTGCAGGAAGTATCAGAAAAGATTTTCTACAAACAGGATCACTTAGCACAGTGACTCTCAACCTGTGGTCTGTGGACCCCTGGGGGTCTATAATGTCATCACAGGTGGTCCGCAAAGGCTTGAAGAAATATTATGATTTAAATTTTTAGTTAAGTCTTTGGTGGTCTGTGGCCACAAAAGGTATTTAAAGGGGGTCCAGGGTGAAGAAAAGGTTGAGAACCATCACCCTAGCAGATCGAAAGCTTTCTATGGCTGGCAAAATATTTTTCATTCATTCAAAGATAAGCTCAAAAAGCTAGAGAAAAACACATTATTTCAATTTCTGCCTTATTTCCACTAATCACTATCCAAGTTAGAACATCTTAGGAAAAGCCCATTGTGTTAAAAATGCTAGTGGATCTTTTCCTTTAGCATGCAAAGAGCAGAAATGGATAGTGCCAGATCCAAGGTTTATTTCAGTTCTGTCACATAATGGAAAACAATGGTTTTGTTTTATATTTAAACCATACAACAAGATGTATCCAAAATGGGTGAATATCACCAGATTAGAGAAATTGATCAAAGCAATCCACTGATAAGACATGCCTTGAGTATAGGAGATATTGTAATATTTTAGATAATATTTACAACACTTGATTTGAATAATAAAATCAGTACTATTGTATTTCATTCAGAACTGTAGTAATCACGTTTCTATTTTTTTCCATTTATATGTGAGTGTGATTCCTGGCTGCTATGCAAAATTGACCTAGAGCTTGGCGATTAAAAGAAGAGCTGAGCAGAGCATTCAAAACATGTGCTTTGTAAAGAAGAAGGTATTTTGCAAAGTTTGTTAGAGTGAGTGAAACACTTCTGGAAACATCAGGCCATCCATATCCTTTTAAAGGCTGAGACTTCAGAGCTGGCAGATACATGCAGAGAACTGGGATGTTCAAAATAAGTGCACTCACTGCCATGGCTGCCATGTTTGCTTCAAGACTTTAAAGAGAGACATTTTTTTTTCAATTAACATGATTTGCAAGGCATATCTTTTAAATGTTTTGCACAGCCCTAGTCAGTGGTACACATTAATTTCACTATTGAAAGCATTTAGTAAAAATGACCAAGTCTTGCAAAATCAACAGTTTTTTTTTAGCTAACAGGTTTTTTTTTAGCTAATGTGTGTGTGTGTGTGTGTGTGTGTGTTTTCTGAGGTTTTCGCGGGTGTTTGTATGTAGGTCTTTGGTTATTCGGGTTTTCTCCTGTGTCAAATTGGAAGTGTCTTGGTGACGTTTCGATGAAGTCTCATTCGTCGTCTTCAGGCTGGTGTTTTCGGCATCGTGCTTCTAGGAGCAATGTGTGATCGTAGCTGTTTCTTCCTTTTAACTGCCAGCGGGGGTATGAACTGATTGGGTGAGAGCTTGGCTGTGTTCTGATTGGGTGGAGGTGTGTTCTGATTGGTTAGGAGCTTGGCTGTGCTCTGATTGGATGGGGGGTTGGCTGTGCTCTGATTGGATGGGGGAGTGTTCTGTTTGGGTGGGGGCTTTGTTGTGTTCAGGTTAGTCTGAGTTGCAGGGGGATTTGAGATGGTGAGCTGCGTTGCTGTTGTTTGGCTTCACATTCGTAGTCATGCCTCATCTTCATGGTGGGTGTCAGTTTGCTTCATGTATGGATTGGAGGGGTTTAAAGTGGCTAATGATGCAGCTGTGGTCTGGCTTCTGGTTTGTGGTCGTGCCTCATTATCGGTGTGGGTTTGGGTTTGCTTTTTGCATGGATGCTAATAACCAACTTCCCTTCCTGGATGTCTTAGTCTAAAAGAAATCCAATGGCTCCCTAGGACACACCATCTACCAGAAGAAAACACACACAAACCGCTATCTGCATGCTCTCTCACACCACCACCCAGCACAGATCAACTCCTTAGCCAAGACACTCATCTCCAGAACAAAACGCTTAGCTGATGAACAACACCTAAAAACCGAACTACACACTCTCATTAATGTATTAACATCCAATGGATTCCAAAAAAATAAGATTACCAAACTAATCTAAAAAGAAATCCCACAAAAATCCAAGACAGAGAACAAGAAAACAGCAAAACCCTCCTCCCATACATAAAAGGCACCACAGACAGAATCAGCAAGATCCTCCACAAACACAACATCAAGACAGTATTCTGCACAAACAGAAAAATATCCACCATCCTAAGAAACCCCAAAGACAAAATTGAGTTAGAAAATCAAGGATTATATGAAATCCCATGCACTGCTTGTCCCACCACATACATTGGACAAACCAACAGAAGAATAAGTGCACGCATTGACGACAATAAGAACTCAGTCAAAAAAGAGGAACCAACTTCTTCCCTCGTCCAACACCTTAAAATCACAGGACATGAAATTGACTTTAAAAAGACCAGAACTATCACCAAAACTGAACATTTTAATAACAGAATAATCAGAGAAGCCATCGAGATAGAAAAACGCCCACACAGCATGAACAAACGAGATGATACCTCCCGCCTACCAGCCATTTGGAAATCCGCCCTGATTGACAAACGACTCCCTAACAGAAAAAATGACACCAGACCCACACTCACAAAAACCACACAGGATGTCACAACCACACATCCACGCAAAAAGCAAACCCAAAGCCACACCGATGATGAGGCACGACCACAAACCAGAAGCCAGACCACAGCTGCATCATTAGCCCCTTTAAACCCCCCCCCTCCAATCCATACATGAAGCAAACTGACACCCACCATGAAGATGAGGCACGACCACGAACGCGAAGCCAAAAATTAGCAATGCAGCTCACCATTTTAACCCCCCCGGCAACTCAGACTAACCTGAGCACAACAAAGCCCCCACCCAAACAGAACACTCCCCCAGCCAATCAGAGCACAGCCAACCCCCAGCCAATCAGAGCACAGCCAACCCCCCAGCCAATCAGAGCACAGCCAAGCTCCTAACCAATCAGTACACACCTCCATCCAATCAGAACACAGCCAAGCTCTCATCCAATCAGTTCATACCCCCACTGGCAGTTAAAAGGAGGAAACAGCTACAACCACACATTGCTCCTAGAAGCACGAAGCCGAAAGCACCAGCCTGAAGATGACGAATGAGATTTCGTCGAAACATCGCCAAGACACTTCCAATTTTACGTGGGAGAAAACCCAAATAACCAAACCCGACAGTTAGCTTGTGCTTGGAAAGAAGCGAATCAACTAACTCGGAGAGGAAGAGAAGATCCCTCCACTCGGCTGGGACGGTTGGAGTGAGAGAGTGTGGATTGCGGAGCGTAGCTAACGATGGACCCGCGACTGCCACAAGAGACAAGGAAAAGAGCAGATTGGAATGGAGGAGCATGCGAAGGGGTGAGACTTACGGGACTTACGAGACTCACGAGATCGAACCATCACACCCCCCGCCCATGGACCCTGAAGACTCCCTTGAGACACACACAAATATGAGCAGCGTGAGAAAGAAAAGGAGAGTCAAAGAAATGTATTGTGGCACTCGAAAGGACCGCAATTCCATTACCACCCCCCCCAGACCGAATCTCCGAAGCACGATGCGTGTGAAAGGAACGCAGGACGCACAAGAAAGGGGGAGGAGAAGCAAGACGACTGGACGCAGCGGTAGCCAGGAGATCGCCCCCCCCATAGGCAAACAACTTACCAACCCACCCCAGATCGTCAGTACATCGCATTTAACTCAGAACAGCTTACAGGACTACTCGGGTGACAGTTACATAAGAGGTGAAAACATTAAAATTGGAAGAGAAAGCTACCGCAAAGAGAACAACCGAGCAGAGGATGATTGGGAAGGGAAGGTGAAACGCACATTCCCACTCGAACCCGATGGGGGGGATGAGTTAAAGCATAGGGATAACCAGAATAACAGGGGTTTCACCCCACCCATCCCAAGATTAAGGGAAAGGAGGATGGATGAGGATGGACACGTAACTAAAAGGAATAGGAAGGAACAAACCAATCATGTACAGTTGAATCAATTGGGCCCGATGACGAGATCGAGGAGCTGGGCGCAGACTCTGACATGCCTATAAAAGATTTTCTCACTCTCTGGTGCATTAGCCCTGAGGATGCCGGCAGGTGACGGCGAAAGCTTGGCGCTTTTTAATTAAACTTTTATAGTTTTTATTACCCTGGTGTTCATTTTATTCTTTGCCATATATATATATATATATATATATATATATATATATATATATATATAATATATATATATATATATATATATATATATATATATATATATATATATATTTATTTATTTATTTCCTGGAATAGGAATGCATTCTTTAAATTTATTACACAGAGAGTTTGCAGTTTTTCATTATAATTTTGACATGATACCAAATTTACCTTCTAGCCATGTATAAAAAGATTCTCCTGTGAACACAAAAATAATTAATTTCAAACAAGGCCTAAACATATCTAATCATAAATACTTTGAAAATCTAAATTTACAGCATACTCCAAAATACATATCAAAATTATCTACCCTCTCATTTAAAATTTGTGATAAAACTGAATCACTGTATCACTTCACTGCTGCTCATTTAAATTCTTAAATATTTATTTCTCAAGTTGAGAAAAAGAGTTCAGATATTTTAAATCTGATTCATGCTTATTTAAAGGAAGTTGTAGCAGAATTTCTATAAAGATCCCTGGAATGTAACGGAACATCAGGAAACATAAACTTCATTCTAATCTACTTTGCTGGACTTCATGAATTCAATAAAGATCCCTAGAGACTTACAGTATAAATGGCAATTGTTTATGTATATCAAATATTAGCAGCATCTATTAATCATGAGAAAGGGATTAACAGTCCTAGATAACATCTGTGTTCCAATATAACCAATAAACTTTTGTTATGCAACTTTTTTCTTTTTCTTCCCTACTTTATATCTCTCACTGAAATTTATTCATTAGGTATAGTATGGTGATATTGTAAAGTTGTAATCCTGGGAGATTTCCCATTCATTACATTTTTTTCCAGAATCTTAAATAATACAGTGAAAGAATATTATGTCACAAAAACTTACCATCATCCTCTCCTGAAAAAAAGTTATAAAAGATAAGTATTATAATTTATTCTTTACTTCTGTATTGAGTATCAAAAATATACTGTATGTGTCAGTTTAAAAAGTCAGAACTTTCTGATTGTAATTAACTCCATCATTGTTTTTCTCAGGAGTTAAAGATTCAAATAGTGATATATTTGCCATCCATAACAAAATGGAAGAATACTGGCATAAGATTGCAAAGGATCTCAATTTTTAAAAATGTGTTACTTCTTCTTGCTTTTTGTTACAAGTTATAGGTTACTTTAAAAGAATGTGTTTTACACCTCCCAGAATAAAAATCTCTAATTAAACAACATAAACTGAGAACAGGTGATTGGTTGCAGTTTTTTTTACTAAATCAGACAAGTTACATTATTTCTGATACTTATTATTTAATTGAAAAGTGGAAGTGCCTTCCCATTCAAATCAGAATTATTGTTTGCAGAACTGTGCTTTCAGATGTAATTGCTGATTATGCACAGCTATCATATATAGCTAGGTCTCAATGTCTTTCATTAACTGATGAATGTATATTTGCCAAGTTGAGTTGAACAAATATACATTAAAAAAGCCTGGATAATAATAAAATTGTTAGTGATAATATCTCTGATACCCATCAAACAACATCTGCCTTCAAATCCTTGGGAAGGATTTGGTAGCTGGATAAAAATGCAAAATCCAGTCTAAACACCTGGCTGATTGTGCAACAAACCAAAAAATGTTTTACTTAATAACTAATATTCAGAATTGTTATATTATAATTGCAAAGGATTTAATGACTCACCCTTGGTTGGTGCCAGTGGATTTAATGGACGATACACAGATCGTGGCCTAATGAGAAAAATATGGTAATTTATGTTTTGGTAATTTAAGGAATTTTAAATTTCAATATAAAATAATTTTGCCCTCTATTTTCACTTACTTAAAGCAATTTTCTTCATAGATACTGTTCCATACTCTCCATGCGGAGGTTCCTTTGTATCCAGTGTATCGTTCTGGATTCAACAGCAAATCCACATATTGAGCATCAGGTGATCTCTCATCTAATAACAAAGAAAAACCGAACTGCTTAATTATGAATTGGAACATACAACTTGCTGACACCTTCAGTATAAGGAGCTATCTTGATGTAAAAGATCAAATTACAGTAATACCATATAAAAGCATTTATGAAGAAATTAACAACATTGTGCATTTATATTTTTACATTTTAAATGTGAGTATTGTAAATAAAGTGGACATTAAATATAAATATGTAACTATTTTTAAATATAGCATATTTATATTTTATTTTGTATTTTTATATACAATTGAACGAAATACAGATAGTCCCTGACTTATGACTACAATTGATCCCTAAATTCTGTTGCCAAATGAGACATTTGTTAAGTAGGTTTTGCTCCATTTTACAAACTTTCTTGCCATAGTTGCTAAATGAATTGATTCAGTTGTTAAGTTAGGAATATGGTTGTTAAGTGAATCTGGCTGCCCCATTAACTTTGTCAGAAGGTCACAAAAGATGTGACCTTCAAGACACTGCACCCATCTTAAATATAAGTCAGTTGCCAAACATCTGAATGTTGATCACGACCATGGGGATGCTGCAATGGTTGTTAAGTGTGAAAAATGGTCATATGTCACTTTTTTCAATGCTGTTGTAGCTTTGAATGGTCACTACATGAACTGTTGTAAGTTGAGAACTACCTGTACATGTCTATGTTTTTGTACTGAGCGACTAGTTCTCATCTGGTTTTCTTCCATATTGTATGTGTTATTATTACATTATAAGGTGCCCAGAGCTGGTTTAGAGTTAGACAGCAATGGAATTTAAATAAATAAATAAATACAACAGAAAGTCTGTCGTAACATTTATTGTAAAATGTTAAAAAAGTAATGAGGTACTGTTACTACTACTAGAAATACCAATAATAATTATTAAAAGTGTTTGTTTTTCTCTGAGTCTTAAAGACCCCAATTTGATTTTTATGTTCATTCAACATAACCGTGTATTGAAAATAAGCACATATAAAAGCAATTTAGCCACATAGCAACATAGTATACATCTATGTGACATCTTTTCATGTACTTGGAAGAATCCTATCATATGTCTTGTCAATCTTTTCTGCAAGTCAGAATATTGCCACTTCTTTTCATCTCTCTTTGGAGGACAAAGTGTCCTTATTTGTCAGAATATTTCTTAAAGTATAATGTCCAAAACTGAATATGAAAGTAGCATATCACCAAAGCACAGAAAAAAAAATGGAACTATTGATTCCTTGATTTGGAAACAACAGAAAAACTTCTGTTGATGCAATTTGAAACTGCACTTGCTTTTTGTAGCCATATGTGCAAATTTTGTAAGTATTCCAAACCTTAATTAAAATGTTGAAGAATATGCATCTCTGATTGTATCTTATAGCAGCCCATTAATTTTTTTTTTATTGAAAATTTTTTAAAATTTTAAAAAACAATACAACCCTTCCCCAAACCTCCCCAACCCTCCCATTCTCTCCCCCGATCTTCCCAGAGCTGAATACAGGCTTAATTGAAATTTCTTCAAAAGATCTTAAAAAAAAAATATAAACCATGAATAAATCTAAATACATTAATTAAACAGATTATAAGATACTTAACAATAATATATATATAGAAAAAACACGAATACAAAAAAAATACTTAAAAATAAAAAAATAGGAAAAAATAAAAAAATAAAAAAAATAAAAACTATAAAATATTTTAAATTTTAAATATAAGTTATTGAAAAACTAAATAATATTTTTTATATCCAACTTATATTGTATGAAGTCTATTCATTTTTTCCACACCCCAAAATACTTCTCTTGCGATTGATCCTTCAAGAAAGCCGAAATTTTTGTCATTTCCGCCAAATAAGAAACTTTAAAAAACCACTCTTGCAAAGTAGGCAAAGATTCCTTCTTCCAACATTGCCCTACTAACAACCTTGCCGCTGTAATTAAATTTAACATCAGTGTAGTCTCTTTAGTATCACAATCAGTAACAATACCTAACAAAAACAATTGTGGGGTAAATTTTACCCTCCTTCTAAAAATTCTTTGAATATTCCACCATATCTTAATCCAAAAAGCTTTTATATTTTTACACGACCACCAGATATGATAATAAGAAGCATCCAAACATCCACATCTCCAACATTTAGGCTGTAAGTCAGGATACATATGAGACATTTTTTGTGGATCAACGTGCCATCTATAAAACATTTTATAAAAATTCTCCCTTAAATTTTGGGCTTGTGTAAATTTGACATTCCTTACCCAAATAATTTCCCAGGTATCTAGTAGAACTGGTTCACCAAAGTTTTGTGCCCATTTAATCATACATTCTTTAACTAATTCTGCTTCTGAATCCAATTCTACTAACACCCCATAAATTCTCTTGATATGAGTTCGTCTTTGATCTTTTATGGCAGCCCATTAATTTTATCAAGAATCATTGATGACCACTTTGAATATAATTTCCAGTCTAGCTTTCCATTCTTTTTAATTATTCTGCCAACCAGGTTCCCATTAGATTAACATATTGGATTAGTAGAGTTTGCAATTAAAGTTATACTTAACATTAGCCAAGAAAGTAATAAGAGATGGTAAGCCCAAAGGTTTATTATATTTGGAGGATTATTACAAATAAAACTATTTTAAGAGCATTTAACACATTCAATTTTAAAGTACATGGATATTAATTCTAATTTTGTTTATTTAGTTATACAGTGAAGAATATATGACTCAATTTTTACCATCCAATTCACAAAAATGGTCCTGGGAATCATCATATCTGGCCCAGTCAATGAAAGCTTCTTTACTTTGGTTACTATGTGAAAGAGAGATAGAAAAAAAATTAGCTATGAACTAAATGCATTTATTTTTATATAACTGTCAACCTCCATAGAAATCAGAGATTACTTATGATTATTAGGATGAACCTGAAAAAATATCTGTTAATAGTCCAAACAAGCTTTCACAGAAGCTCATAAAGACACAAATGATTACAATTAAATAGATCAAGACAAGAGAATAAGAATAGCACAAACACCTATATTATTTTCCAAGTAGTAACAGAGTCAGCAACCACTTTAACTATTTACAATAACCATTAGAGTTGCATAGTTACTGTACAGATGCAGCAGAATTAGATTATATATTTATGCTACATCTGTTGCAATAAATAACTGATTCCTCGTTATTGTTGTTCTATAGTTTTTTTCTGAACTCATTAAAATTAAGAAAGTTTACATCTAATACTAGAACCATCTGACCAAAAGTAATAAGGAGGTGATGAGTCAAAGTCAGATTTATTATATATTGCACTAGAATAATTTTAAGAAATTAAGAGGCAGTTATTTTGTAGAATCTATCAGGTTTCTGATGCATGTATTCATCTCATGTATAATTTCAATTGAACTGACACGAATGTTTCAAGCAAAAGGTACATCAAATATGAAACTATTTTGTTTCCTCAGAACATAAGGAATAGAAAATACAGAGAACCATTAAATAAGAATCATGTCTTCCACTAATACTGAAGGCATAATTACCTTAAGGTACTATTAATTGCACCCAGTTTGTTAGCCTGTTCACAGTCTTCACGTTCTTTGGTATGATTTGCTATCTTTGAATACTGAAAGACAGAATATGTAATCTTTATATCTCCAATACCAATATTTTTAGATAAATACTCGCCAGTTATTTATCTAAAGTATTACTGGCTTCAAAATAGTACTTAATTTTTCAATACATTACTATAATCTCTTACAAATCCTGAACTTTCTGCTGCATGTGTTCCCCCAAATCCCTCACTGTACTAAAGAATTATTATAAATACTTAGTCCCATAAGTCCCAGACCTGAATGTATTTTTTTAAAAAATATGAAGATTATAGAAGGAGTTCCCTGAGCTTTTAAAGCACTGCAAAACTGTTTGCAATGTTTACTTCAAGAGACTAACATAACAATAGAATTATTCCAGTGCTTACATATTTCCCTAGCCTAGACAATTCCTTAAAGTTATTTTTAAGCTAAAATTTATATCAACTTTAACCAGTTTCCTATCCTATCCTGTTCTATTTAGAATAGTTCTATTTAGTCTCTTGTTACCTTTGAAAACAGAGAAAAAGAGAGGCAGGTGCGGGTGGAGGGAGGAGAAATATCAACTCTTTTTCTATGACAAGGAAGTACAATGAAATATACTACTGCCAGCTACAACTACTAGAAGAGAAAAGCAATATACAAACAGCAAGAAGAATGCTGGCATTGGTTTTGCCACCGAGTAACATAGCACAATGTTACATCAGAATTGAGGAGTGGCATGAGTGATAGCAAATTCTCGGTTTTATACATGTACTATTTGCCATATGTAAGAGACGGTATTAGATTATTTTGAAAGAAATCACTTACTTTGTTAGCACTTTCAGCTTTAATTCCAACTGGAACTTTACTCTAAAATAAATACAAATAATGTAAGCATTTATCTTTACCTTTTTTCAAGCAATTTTCAACTCCCAAATAAATGAACTAAAGAAAATTCAGAATTGGAGCCAGTCAGGAAGACTAGTTGTGCATTAATTCTACAGACAAATAAATTGACTCTTAAGAAACTTTCATTTACGATCTAACAGGTTTTGATGTCTGCATGCCTATTTCAAGGGAGTCAAATTCAACAAAGGCAAAGGGATTTCTCTATAAAATGCTTAAGAAAAAAATGATAAATCCAATTAACATTTAAATCAGGAATACCTATACCATAGCCAAAGTCTACACAGCATTTATGCAAGAAAATGCAGATTTGAATTATCATTCTGTCACTGACATCCACATACATAAAATCCTCACAGTAACAATAAATATGTTGTCAATAGAATAGTCAGTCCAATATATATGTAGCTCAGGGTTGAACTGTGGCGTTCTTGGTACTCTCTGAGCTAGGTTGTTTGCTTGTAGAAGTTTAATTACTCACCTAGCTATCGTCATCAGTGGTAGTGAACGTGGATATATATCTATAGTAGCTTGCCCTGCCAATATTGGTAGGGGTGTAATTTTCACTTGACAGTTCCTTCATTAAATAGCAATAAAAATAAACCATTTTTATACACCATTCAAAAGAGACAATAAAAAAGTAACAAGGAAACAAAAAAAGGTTAATCACATAGAGAGATGGTTTGGTCTAGTGGTTAAGGTCCTGGCCTAAAAACCAGAAGACTGTCAGTTCTAGTCCCACCTTAGGCATGCAAGCCTCTCCTCAGCCCAACTCATTTGGCAGGATTGTCATTGTGAGGAAAACAGGAGGAGGAAGGAATATTAGATAGGTTTGCCACTTTTAGTTAAAAATAACTATGTGAGCATGAAGGCGTCCATATAAATTTTCCAAATAAATAAACAATAATAAAGGTGAGAAATCAATTAATTAAAAAAAGACCAGAACACATTCCTTCCAGCAGCCAACACTCAAGACAAATAATCAAGCAGAAAGCAATATTCTAATCCAGTGGTTCTCAACCTTTCTAATGCCGCGACCCCATAATACAGCTCCCCATGGGCGTGGCCAAAGAAAAGGGGGAAAAATGGTGGACAGACTTGTTTGGCGACCCCCGTGAAATGGTCATTCGACCCCAAATGGGGTCCCGACCCACAGGTTGAGAACCACTGTTCTAATCCAAGGAGAAAACCAATACCATCAGGACAAACTACTTTATATGAACTGTGAGAAAATACAATACTCACTGTCACCAACGATGTTACCTAATTGCAATCCAACATCTACAAGCAAACAAAACTCAGAGAACACCAAGGACTAGAAGAGTTAATACAGTATTGTTTCAGCTTTCTCCTTTGTTTTGAAACTTACCTCAGGACAAGGTTCTACATGGCAATCTCTGATAGAGCAATGGCCATCATCAGCCCAGAATGGACATGGTCTTTTCAGATTAACCTTGAATAACAATTTGTAAAGGTCATTCATATTCATTTAAGAACTGTTTGCCTTTAAAATTATGAGACTAAACAAGTTGAACAAAAAGGGAAAAGCTCATTGGAAATAATTAGAAGATTTTCTGAGAATTCATTTGAAACAGAGGAAATATAGCCCATGCCAAAAATCTAGTAACATAAGTATGAATGCATTATCACATCCATTTAAAATTTGACCGTTATAATCTCCAGCAAAAAACTGCTACTTATTATTTCCCGTCAGTCCGTTATAATCTCCAGCAAAAAACTGCTAATTATTTCCCGTCAGTCCTTCAGTTATACTTTGTGTATTTCATTAATTCACTAAGAAAAACAGTATATTTCTTTTTACTAGTTAAAAGGTTTCAAACTAGTTAATAGTTACATTTAAGCAACTTTTCAAAACATCTTGCCTTGAGTGTAACGTTTCCAAATATTATCCATCCCATCCGCAATGGATTTTTATTGCCACAAATGAAGTAACCTACCAGAATGTATTAGGCAGCTACATTTGTTCACAAGCTTCATGCAGCTGCTTTGAAGGCTTTTCCTGCCTATCTCTTTGGGCACATTTATACACAGCCACTTTATAGTACTTTATTGGCTGCCCCAAAAGGTCATCTGTTAATGCACACCCAGAGAACCAAGAAAGAGCTCCAAGGGGGATGCAGCTGCCGCCTAAGGAGAGGCACTATCAAATGGTTTGCACAGTCCTAGTCCTCTCTTCCCCCCACTACCTGGATCTCTTTTTAAAAATATTTTAAAAAATGACTTATTTCTTCACATCTTATTCTTTATTTTTTCATTCCTTTCTTTGGAGAATTAAAGCTAGATTTCAATCAGCTTTATAATAATATGCCATTTTTACTTTACCTTGTAATACCTGAAGTAGTCTCGTTCTTGAAGTTTCTGTATTTTGGGAAAGATCTTAAAATTGTTGAAGTCATCTATGCTTTCTATGTCACATAAGCAGTCATCAAGTAATCCTGTTACCTACAAAAACAAATACCAGCAAAAAAAGATATTTACACTGGAGATTTAGGTTGCAAGAAGAAATGATTAAATATAGTAAGAAGCAACAGGAATTTAGGTAACAATTTAATTATTTTAACTGATCCAATTATGTTATAAAATTTAGAACTAAAAAAGGGAAAATACATAATTTGGTCTCTTTATATTTAAATAAAAAGAAAATGTTTCACAATTGGTCTTATCTTCATTATAACAACACATCAAATGAAATCTCTTTTTACCTGTGTAAACCATTCACAGTACTAAACCACAATAACTAATTAGCACTAGACAACCCATGCCATGTTGGGTCTCGTTTCAAAGACATTTCCTTACCTAGAGAAACCGAATGACCAAGGGCAGGCAAAAAAGCAGTGAGTGCAGGAGAGACTTCCAACTTCCTGACACTTTTTCCACTGAGTTCCCTAGTGGGAATCTGGGAGGGAACGTTGAAAATCCCCTTCCCTTTCCAGCAGGTAAGTAGGTCGCTGCTGCTGGATGGATAAGGGAGTGAGGGATTGGCTGGGAAACTGTCACACACGCTGAAAATAAAGAATATGTGACCATTGCATCACCCCAGCAACAGCCAATAGCACTGAAGCAGCCATAATTTCCAAATTTAATTCCAGTGGAAATCAGGGGTACTGGATTTTGGACACATTTTGTAAATTAGCCCATTTGAGGTAATTTGGTTCAAAAATTGTTGCCCTATGATACTCTTTCATTCAGTTAAAGATCACGACAATGAGAGTTTTAGTAGTATGTAGAGTAATATTTTATACAATGTTTAACTATAAGAAATGAATTCAAAATGTAGCTAAATTTCAAATAAGCAGTATTATGTTAAAATATTTAAAATATTTGTCCTGTTCTTGTACCTCAAACATTAAAAGAATAAAGCACTTATTAGATATCAGTAGGTAAGTAGACAAAAAGTATTTCTATCATGTATGGAAATACTTCAACAATCTCCAGTTATCACACGATTATTGAGTTGGGAAGGGAACATTTCTGTTGACGAAATATGCTACTCAAATGGAAAATTTAAATGCTAAAGCTTAAGTGGAAACTGTACTCAGGTATTCATGGCTGAGACAGGGGCATCCATGAGTGTCAAAAAGATCAAAATAGTGGTCACATCTATGTGACTGAAGCCATTTTGTATGTGTTGCCTAGTTGTAGCCACCATTTTGCCTGATAAGACTGAATGAATAGTGATAGACTGAATATCTACAGCACGGACAAGAAGGCAAATGTGGATCTACTATTTGATGTCTCATTAATTTGCAATAGGAAAATAACTCCTTTTACCTAGCAACAAAATGACCCCTGGTATGTTACACAGAGATAGCTTTGAGGGACAGTGTATTGTATGGAAAAGGGTTATACAGTTATTATTTCAAATTCTCAAATAAAGGTGTGTGCTTTGCTTTAGATCCTGTTAGATAAATATTAGGGAAATAAGTAAAGAGAAAAGTAGATCTTCCAAGCCTACTTTCATCTCTAATCTGTAAGTTTTACAACAGTACTTAAATGATTTTCAGTGGTCACTATACCTGCAACTGTCTGCAGAAGTCCATCTGGTGGCCCAGGTCAAAGCCCACTCATTGCCCCAGTTCTCATCTCTTCCCCTTTGATATGTTGACAGTAAGCTAAAGACTTATTGTCTCAGACTTGCCTTCTTACCTGTGCCCATAGCCAACTGGTTCATGGGAATGGATCAGTGGCTGAAAACTGGTTCTTTGAGAAGTCATAATCCAAGTCATAATGTGAGTGTTAACATTCATACAGCTGGCAATACTGAACAGATCTTAAGCGCAGTTACTGATTGTAAGTTCTCATTCTCTGTGCTACATGAGATGAAGTTTTTGCAAATGTAAGCAGGAAACACAATGAGGAATCACTAAAAATGGGATTTCAAGAATGATGAGCATGGTTTTGCTTAGACATATAAAAATTATTTTTTATTTATTAAATTTATTTGCCACCTATCTTGTTTTGAAATGATGAAATCATAAATACTATTCAGAGGGTAGGGGCCACAACAGAGAGGGAACACTTCCTAGGTCCCACAAGATGGCAACATTTAATTATGGGGCCCAGGACTTACCCACTTTGTTTAATCTTTAATTATATTTTCCAAACATTTCATGATGGCAAAAAATTTGAGAAATGCTGGCCTAACAACTTTAATTCTCTTTAGCTCTGTGTAGCATTGGCAAGTATGAATTTGGTAGAAGTCCCCAGAATATTTCCATCTCTATTTAGTATATGCACAGATTGAACTAAAACCCTAAAGTGCTTTAATGAACAACCAATAAGAAATAACCACATATTCCTTCAAAGCAAAGAAACTTAGGCTTTTTACAAGGAAAAAAAATGATACTCACTTCCAATTATGCACTGACTAGACTCAAATAGATAAAAAGATAATATCTCTTCACAGCATTTAACTATTATATTTGCTTCTGCAAGATGTGCTTGTAGTAATGAATTTGAACTGTTTTTTTAAAAAGAGACATTTTAATGAAGAAGGCTACTATTGCTGAATAAAACAGAGAATACTGCGCTCAAGTTTTGCTTGTGATCTTCCTACCGATACGCAGATTGAATTGTGACAAAGGAATGGTAGACTAGATAGGCCTTTGTGTGGTCCACCACAGCTCTTATATTCTGGAGAAAAAAAAACCACTGTGTTTAGCGTGATTTATCATAAAGATATTTACTGGCTTATCAGCTTTTCAAGTAAGCTGCATATGCTTCTGCAGGCAGTTTCGTGAAAAATTTGGCGTATTCTATACAATAAAACTGAAGGCAAATTTAAAGCGCACTTCACACAATGCTGTTATTTTAAGCAGCTATTATAAAAACTGTGTTTACAAATCTGCATGTCACGCAGGTACATTCATGAGGGAGATTGTATCTAGACAATTAACAGACTCTGTGCAATACTATTCATACTTGTACCCATTTTGTGAATTCATGTATTATATTTCAAGAGACCACCCCCCAAAGTATTTCTAATAGGAAAGCATGGTTAAAAATAAGTTTCTCAATAACATTCTCAATAGTTTGAGCAATGCCAGGGGATTTATGTAAAAATCTTTCTTTTTAATCAAGCATCCTTCATTTTATGCAAGCATCTTTCACTTTCTATCTGACTATCTTGGAGACCCAGCTTTCTTAGAAGCACCTGTTTCCCCAAAGAGGGAACTGGATCAAATAGCCAGAAAGATGGGGCTGCTCTTACCACATAGCTCTTCAATCCGTTGACATTTAAACTGACTTTTTCATGACATAATGAACTTTAAAAAGATAATAAATATTAAGCACGCAAAGGTTTCCTTCCTCTATTGAGCAAATTTTGCACTTCATTGACACAGAAATACAGCAGAGCTTCCCCCTTTTAATATAAAGGTCCTTCATTCTCCCTCTCTCTACTTCTTTCTTTACAGGATACAATATAATCCTAGTTGACATTCTCTTGACTTAATTACAAATCAGCTTTAAACACCTGCTAACCTAGAGCAAAGAACCCCCCCCCCGCCCTCAAGAAAGATTTCCAGGAGGTCTCAGCAAGTGAGTCGAAGATGGTTCCACTTTCTCTCGCAACTCTCTGATCTCAACTCCAGCAGGAAACTCCTAAAAGGTTTGACACCCCAAGAACACTCCAGATTCCGAGGTCTTTTTCCGAACTTCCCCAACGGGCGACTCCTCTCACCTGGGCCTCTATTGCACACCAAAGGCAGCCAAGAGTCACCGCTGCCAGCAAGAGCCGCGCCGCCCGATCCCTCTCCGCTGCAATTCTCCGGACGATTCCTCTGCTGCTCATGCTGCAGAAGCCGTTCGGCGGGGCCCCTGGGGGGCCCATGCCCCACGCCGCCGCCTTTGGGCAGCCAGGAGTATGGGATGTTCGCTGGGGGATGCCTTCCCTGTCCCGAACCCCCACTCTGCCGGGAATGGGACCTGTCAGGCGAGCGGGTGGATGCGCTCACCTCCTCCAGCCGCCGCCGCCGCCGCCGCCCTCACTCCTTTCCCGGCGCCAGCCTACACACAAACACACACACATACACACTGCGAAAGGAGAGCAGGCGCGCGCTTCACCAGCAAGCGCTTTCCTTTACAGAGGAGGAGGAGCAGTAAATAGCAGCAATCACAGAGCTTAGCCTGCGCAAAGCTTCTTGGGAAATGTAGTACACCAACCATCTCTCGTCCCGTCAGTTTATCTTTCGGTCTCCACAGTATACTGTATTCGAGTGACGAGAAGGGAGGGATCAAGAGAGTGTCCAATAGGAAAAAACCACGCGCACCTTCAAAACAAGAGGCAGTTTATAACCGTCAACAGAAAGTAGAGGGTCTAGAGGGATTTGGGGGGGGGGGGTGTTCTTGCGGGAAAGGCGAGGTAATGATTAACTTTGGGAAACATTTTTGTGTAACAAGATCCTGCCTATTCCCGTACAACTTTCTTGGGCATCAGTGTGTAACAGCGAGCTCTGTGTCATTTCCTTATAGATGGTTTCCTCCTCATGGCTCTTTAGGAATATTTTACATACACTGTTAAATTATCTTTCCAAATATTAGGGATTCTGTTAACAGACGCTCAATTCAATTTTAGAATGCTGATAAAATAGAAGCGCTTTTGTGATTATATCACAGGAAGATGGAAGTTTTGAAGTAAGTTGTAATTCTACAGTTTTTAAAGTACTGTTTCAATGGTCATGTGCACACAACCAAACTTTTCTATACACAAGTTAGTGTACTTAAGGAAGATAATCAAATATGTGGAAATATCTCTTTATGAACTTCCCACTTGTGATGGTGAAACAAATGATTTTAATAAAATACACATAGTCCTCAACTTAAAACAATTTGTTTAGTGACCATTTGAAATTATAAAGGTACTGAAAAACGTGACTTATGATCATTTTTTACATGAGTACTGCATTATCCCCAGTCATGTATTTATAATGGAGTCATGTGATCATCTTTTTCAACCTTCTGACAAGCAAAGGCAATGATGAAGCTAGAATCACTTAATAGCTTTGTTACTAATTTAACAACTACAATAATTCAATTAGCAATTTTGGCAAGAAAGGTCATAAAATGGGGTAAAATTCACCTAACTTGTCTTGCTCAATAATAGACATGTTGGGCTTAATTGTGGTCATAAGTCGAATACTACTTACAATCTGTGTAGACGATGTTGTGCTGCTCCAGAAACCGCAATATAATACTAAATTAAGTTTATATCTGAAGCAGCATTTAACACTGTTTGGAACCCTATTTGGTGCTTGATTAATTTGTGGAGAAAAAGCAAATCTTTTTTTTTTTAATGATTTTCATAGATGTTCTTTTCCATCCCTTTTTTCAGTGAACCTGAGCATTTGTATTAGACAAATGCCATGGTGAATTTATAGCTTTATTATTTGCTTGGTTTTGATAGTTTTAAAGATAACCTCAGGTTTTTGAGAGTGCATCTGTTACTTTCCCTATTAGATAAATATTTCCATAAAAATTATTATTCAAATAGTGTCCCTTTTCTCTGATATTCTGTATGTATTTAACCCTGCAAGCACATCTTTCTTAGCCTATTCTTAGTACAGTGTCCTTAAGTCTTGAATCTGGGTCTCCTTACTGCTAGTCTACCATTAAACATTGATTATGCTCTCAAATAAATGCCAACTCTTAGCAACTAAATACTTTAGATTTTTTTCCATGAGGATCTGTCACCATATTGGTCCTTCAGGTTTTCCAATGGTGGTACAGCTGAATTCATCCTGCGGGTTGTCTTCTTTTCTTCCACCTTTCCTGGCATTACAAACTTGTCAAGAAAGCTAGGTCTTCGTATAAGTGTTTAAAGTATAATCTTTGAGGGAGATCAGCAGTACAGAAATGTGAAAAATAAATCTGTGCATCCAATGAGAACTCTTGAGTCGATTTCTTTGATGATCTATTTATTTGTTTTGCTGGCTGATATTATTGGTGTAGACTTCTTCCACACCAATATTCAGAAATATCAAAGGTATCAACAGTCTTTCTGTTCTAAGTTTCTTCAAAATCCAATCTTAAGTATTAAACCAAACTGATTCTTTGCAGCTGAGCCCTTTAAAAATAATTGATAAAGATCACATGAATTGACAGTATTATTTACATTATTTAAGTCTAGTTTAGAGTAATTCTGTTTAAACTCTAGCACATTGAACCATGGCAACCTGTGTATGTGTGTGTGTGTGTATGTATGGATGTATGTATTCTGTGTCTTCTCTCGTAATTCAGACATCCATTATTCTTTACTGCATGTGGAACCAAATTCTTATTTCCTTGAATTCTACAACATAGACTACTGTGGAGTGTTTATGATTGTTTCTTTAATAGACAAAAATGTTTGACTGGCCAAGTGGGGGAGCATACAACTATAGCAATTGTTTTTTTTAAGTGTCTGGCTGTTAATTCTCAGAAGTTAAGAGGTCCTAAATTTAAAATTAACTGTGCTGTCTTTTCCTCCTCTTCCTCTTGCTTCATTAAACATTAAATGTCACAGAAGGTTCTGCATAGTGCCCAAGGGTAAAACAAAAATATGAAAGCTGTACAGAGAGAGATCCAATTGCAAATAAGGAAGAATTTCTGGATCATAAATGTTATCAAGCTGTAGAAGGAACGCTGTCTTAACTGAATGCCTTTTCTCAGTACAGAGATGGAGAATCCACCAATGGGTTTTCTCTGTCTGCCTGCTCTTGAGACCAAGTAGCCAAACTTGACACGCCCCCTCTTGCTAGGAGATCCAGTCTTGACGAGGGCGAAAGTGGCTGATGCTGGACGAGGTGTTGACTCTCAACCCCTTAATACCGGCCTAACTGACCTAAAGGGTGGTGTGGATTCTCCATCTCCGTACTGAGAAAAGGTGTTCAGGTAAGACAACGCCCCTTCTCCAGTACAGGAGATGGAGAATCCACCAATGGGACATACCAAAGCCTCACTGTCCTGATGGGTGGGAAACAGTTAAGGCCGGATCTACGTCCCCAGAGACCACCTGTTGGAGGACCCTCCGACCAAAGGAGGCATCCGCGGAAGCGAAGCGGTCAATCCTATAATGGCGTACAAAGGGGAGGGCGAGGACCATGTCACAGCCCTGCAAATCTCATCGATGGACGACTGAGTAGCCCATGCCGCAGATGTCGCAGCGCTGTGAGTGGAATGGGCTGTGATATGACTTGGAGCCGGTAGGGAAGAAGACTGGTACGCCTCTGTGATACAGGTCCTGATCCACCTGCCTATAGTGCCAGCGGACACCTTCTGTCCCAGGGAAGCCGGATGGAAGGAAATAAAGAGGGCCTCAGATCTACAAAAAGGCTCCGTGCGCTTGATGTAACGCCGCAGGGCCCTGCGGACGTCCAGTGTGTGCTACTGCCGCTCCAAGTCATGGGAAGGATTGGGGCAAAAATTTGGCAAAATGACTTCCTGTGCGCTATGGAAGAGTGAGTTGACCTTGGGCACGAAGGCGGGATCCAACCGAAGGACTATCCGGTCTTGGTGGAAGATGCAAAGATCATTCTTGACTGAGAGAGCAGCCAGTTCGGAGATACACCTGGCTGATGTGATGGCGATTAAGAATGCAACCTTAAGAGATAAGGCCCGCAATGGTATAGTAGCAATGGGCTCAAAGGGCGATTTTGTGAGTGCGCGAAGCACACGAGGCAGTTCCCAAGAGGGATACCTGTGTACCACAGGAGGCCTAGTGTTGCATGCACTCTTGATAAAGGCGCGTATCCTAGGATGATGAGCTAAAGGAACTGAATCCGCGCAAGTGAGCAACGTCGATAGGGCTGCCACCTGCTACGAATGAGGAACCGCCAGTGAGCTGGATGGATGGGGATGTGGAGATATGCTTCTGGGTGGTCTGTTGACGTCAGGAAGTCTCCTTGTCTGATGCCTCCCAGGATGGACTGGAGTGATTACATTTTGAACTTCTTGTATGTGATGTAATAGTTCAGACCCTTGATGTCTAGAATTGCCCTCCATCCCCCCGAGGTCTTGGGGACCATGAAGAGGATGGAGTAGAATCCCCCTCCCATGTGGTTCGGCGGTACCAGTTCTATGGCCTGAATCTCTAGAAGATGTTGAATGGCCTCCTGCATAAGTCCCTGTTTGAGTGGATCCCGGGAAGTGGGATAGGTGATGAAGTGATCCGGGGGACTGGCTAGAAACTCCAGGGACAGGCCAAACTGGATTGTTTGTAAGACCCAGGCGTGTGTGGATGTGAGTTCCCACTGATGGAAGAAGTGGGCCAGCCTTCCCCCAATGGGAAGTGTGGTGTAAGAGTCCTGCCCCTCGAAATGGCCTCTTAGATTGGTTCTGCTGCCTGGGCCGAAAGCCCGGTGTGTCATACAGATGTCATATGGCCTGTCCTGCCTGGGTGTGTATGAGTGGGAGGGCTGAGTAACTGCTGAACCTACTGCCGGCCGAAAGGACAGCCTATGGAAATAGGGAGCGGGACGTTTTTCGGACCGTTTATTCAAATGAGCCACGACCTTCCGCTTGTCCTTGTTTTCTACAAGGTACGGAGCCAGGGCCTCCCCAGATTATTGCCCAGATAGGGGGCAGTTGCAAGACGCCATTTGGCCTTGGCATCAGCCTGCCAGTGTTTCAGCCATAGCATCCTTCTGGCTGTAATGTTGGATGCTAGAGACTTGGAAGCAAAGTTGGCCGACTGAAGCGTCGTGTCCGCAGCATACTCAGTGGCTGCCACCATTTTGCTTAGGTCCTGGTGAGTCCGAATGTCCTCAGAAGGGACTCTGGCCTGAAGCTGACAAAGCCGTAAGAGGGTGGTCCGGACAAAGAAGGATGCACAAGTGACCGTTTTAATTGCCCATGCTGCTGATTGATGGATCTTCCGGAAGGTCTGGTCCCATTTCCTGTCGTCTGCTTTAAGCGCCTCCGACACGTCCCCAGCGACTGCAGTCTGGGATATCAGAGGGGTCCAGGCCTCGTTTACCTTGGGAACCTCCAGGGTCTCAGTAAGGTCTGTGGAGGTGCCAAAAATCTTTTTATCTGTCCCGCTTACAGAAGGAAAGGAGGAAGGGGAGACCCATTGCTTTTTGATCTCTTTTAAGGAAAATGGAGGGAC